AAGCTGGGGGAGGGGGGGGGGTGTTTCTAGAGCTTGCACCTTTAACATATGTTTTCTGAACGAAGAGAGCATCAGACTTCTAGAGGGTTTGTTAACCATTGCTGGGAAGCTACTATTTCTTTTTCAGATTACCCTTAGTCCAGACGAACAATGCATTATCCCGTGAAATTTACAACAATCCCACTTCATTCCAGAATACAATTACGAAGCGTAATATCACAAATACATATGAGTTTCAGATGTGCTTACTTTCATGATAGAAGCAGCAATTCATGTCCATTTACCAGAGAAACCCATACAACGAAAAAATACAAAGGTGGGATGGATATTTACCTCTATACAGATCCTAAGTAAACCCAAAACTAGATAGACAGGAGAGTTCCCAATCATTGAGTTGATCCAGAAACAATGAAAACTTAAACTTTATAAACACCATCATGCATCTTCCCTGTCAAGAAACAGCACGTCATTGATTGCCTTCTGAACATCAACTCGGGTGATTTTGCTGGCACCTTCCAACAGAATGATCGAATTGGTATGAAGAAAGATGGATGTGAGGACTGCCAGCTCAGCCGACGATTGCCAGTAGGCTCTGTCTTACTGCTGGAACGGAGCACACAAGGGAACCAAATATACCAGTGAGGGCATATGCAATAGCACAGAATGGAAGCGCTTCAGGTTCCTTTGCTGACAAAGCTGCTGTTCCAAGCCCATGAGCACTTAAAAGCAGGAGAAAATAGTCATTTTAGAGCAATATTATATGGCTTGGATCTTCTTCTAATTTTTAATGCATGGTTTTTCTCAAACATAAAAATGGTTCCTACCTTGACGCAGTTGCAATTCCTCGAGCAATCGGATCATTGAAGCCAAGTTTATCCAGCACTGCCTGAACAAAATTTGCTCCCACCAAACCAGTTAGTACAACAACAGCTGCTGTGAGAGATGTATTCACACCTGAATATTACACACGTAAGAACATTTCAGCATCTTTTTCACTCTTTTTTTCCAGATAATCCATGATTAGTCAAGTTTTCATAGAAAAGACGAAATATCCCTGACCTTCAAAGAAAGAAACAATGCTGAGAGCTAATGCGACAGTTATGCATCGTGGTAGGATTGATACAGTTAAATTTGGCTCCAACCCAACCAGCCGTCCAATGAAAGCGGTAGAATATAGCGAAAATAGCGTTGCTATAATGACAGAGCTGAAAATCTCAGCAGCATGCCGTTTAACAAGCTGGGAGTAGAAAATGGTTAATTAGCATAAGCAAAGACAGGGACAGGTGAGAGCGTGAATCCTCTAAAGGACCACCTGTCATACATACACTGGCTGCAACAAGTCAAGAAGGTGAGGGGTGAAAGGAAAAGGTTATGCTTGTAAGAAAAGTGCAGGACAAGCAAAACAACTCCAAAATATATCAACCGCTTGGTTTTGGAATTTCATTCTTCTTTTATCATTCATGTCATTAGTAACTTGCTGTTATTTCTTGTTTTGTCCTATGCTTGTGCAATGTACACCCTCCCTCACCAGTAAACGATAACATTCCTTTAAATTTCGATCCTATTAGCAGCCTTAGTTGCAGCTCATATTTAATTACCTTTCTCTGCTTGAACATTGAGAAGGCAAAGGAGATGATAACTGATCCCAAAAATCCCATGAGAATGTCACCAGCTCCAGGATTAGATGCTGCCTTTGTAAGATAATCCCCTGAATAAATTAGCAAGGCGAAAGTTACAACTTTGATTAGCTGAATGGAGCAAATAATGTAGTTTGCGAAGTCCGATATCTTGATCAAAAGCCTAAGGCCAATGATGAAACTCCAATCACAGAACTGTTATGGGCATTCCTACTAAGTCAAGTATTTATCTCCGACCTACAAAGTGTAAAATTCCTTACTATAGTGATATCAGTTGCTCCTCT